ACATCTAGTGCAAGTAGAAGAATTTTAAATGAAAGGAGGACTAAACTTTCACAAAAAATGATTGAAGTCCTCACATGTCTTCGAGATTGGAAACGGTCGTGCCATCAGGATCAATACAAGGTTGTTGACGATACTTTAATAGAATAATTTCAATTTTGTAATGTAGATGATACGGATGAGGGAGGTCTTAGTCAACCCCCAAATTAGTTGTTTTGTAAATTGTAACTTGTAAATTAATTGTCAATTATTGCACTATTTTTTCCTTGCCAAGTTTTTGTCCCATTGGGTTTTTCTTGGTAAGGTTTTTAACGAGGCAATAATTGTTGTAATTTCTTATTTTATTTTTTTAATAAATGAATAAATCTAATTTTTCTTATATTACAATTTCATTGTATTAAAATTGAATTAATATTTGAAATGTTAACCAAAAAAAAATTAATTTAATTGAATTATTGATATTTGAAAAGTTAACTAAAAAATAAAAACAATTACATAAAATAAAAAAATAAAAAATAAAAAAATAAAAAAAATTATGAGCTAACCCCGCCCGACTCGCATCAAAACCCGTTAGGTTAGGGTTGGCGGGTCAGGCTGGGCCAACCTTTTTGGCCAAGACGCAGGTCAGCCCGACCCGCCCTTGTTGACAGGCCTGGCTAACATACCGCGGACAGGACTGGGCAGGTTATTTTTCCACCTTTAACCTTGAGTCAGAAACTCTGGCAAGGTTTTAGATAAAAACATGTCCATTTACCTTTACTTTTGATTTATCAACACATCTGATTAACCCTCCAAGATTGGCAGTAGATGACACCTTGGTTGGGTTTGATGGTGGAGTTTGGGCCCATGGCGTGCTAATGGTGGCCATGGTATTATCACCATGAAGATTACCCAATTCATTCCATTCAAGAGTAGCTATTTGTCGGCAGTCAATGAATTATGTATTTACAGCTAAAAAATAAGCAACAAAGAGAAAATTAAGAAATTAAGATTGAAATATCTAAACAAAAAGGATACGTTCAGTTCGCCATATGTCTATGATGCTAACTCCAGCATTTGGTTAAAGCCAATACTCGATGGGTGCGATTCCGGTGAAGAAGAAAGAAGAAAAGGGGAGAAGAAAAGAGAAGGGTATTTTTATCTTTACACTGTTATACAATGTTAAAGAATAGATTTTCTTAACGGAATATAACGGTGGGTGGGAAAGTGTCGTTTCCCTAAATCTTGGGTGGAAACCAGTCGTTCTCCCTAATTGAAAAGAATCTAAAAAACAAAAATAAGATATGGGCGTTAGCTTTTTTTTTTTTTATGGCATTAGGCAAAATAGTGGTTTCTATCATGGTTATTAGTATCCTATGTATCATACGATACGATTTGATGCAAGTCATCAATGATACGTATCAGAGAGTGTATCATAAACCTTTCGATACGTTGATATGTATACTACGATATGATACGTATCCTTAAAAATATCAATACAAATCGATACAACTTTATTAATTTGGGCCAAAGGTCCAAAAAAATTTGGGTCGGAACAGGATCACCCAACCCGGTTCACTAAAATCTGCCCAAATTTACTCATTTTGCATGGAGAAAGTGAAGAGGAACATATGTTGTCCATTTTGCATGATAATAATAATACAAGTAGAGATATAAATATTGACATTGATCTTGGAAATGATATGAATGGTTGAGAGAAAATAATATAAATTCTTAATTTTGATTACGTAATATCATAATTTAAAGCCAATAATATCACAAAATTCTTTAATTAATCTTAGGGATGATATTAATTTTTAGAAAATTTTGATTATTTTATTAATTTTTTTGAAAAAGGCGTATCGTACGATACGATATGATACGCGATACATGATTAAAAAAAAATTAAGTTTTCGATACACAATACGATATGCGATTTGACAACCATGGTTTCTGTCTTCTGATAAGTGATAAGATGGGAATAGTAAGGTGCGTTTGTTCTCCTATTTTTTCCTCTATTCTGTTCTTATCATTTCCAAAATACACATTTATTTTCCTATTATGAAAATACTATTATATTATATTTAATTATTTTTAAAACCCTTAAGTTTGTTAATTTAACTAAAAACCCCCCAAAAAAGTTTAAAATTTGACAAAAACACCCCTACCACCCACATTTGCCAGATTCAGGCCACCACTGCCGAAGGTGGTCGGAATATGATATAATGGCGTATTATCTACTGGATTTGACCGATAGTGCGTCAATATAGCCTTTTCCAGCCAGATCCACCGTGAATCTGGCTAGAAAAGACCATATCTATGGCCAAAGATCTAGTTGTCAACGACCAGATCTTTGATCTTTGACCGTAGCTAGTCATCAACGATGGCCAAGATATGGTCAACGTAGCCAGATTTGACCATTAACGGCCAGATCTAATTGTAGATCTAACCTTTTTCGGCTAGATCCATGGTGGATCTAGCCAGATAAGGCCATCTCGATGCACAATTGGCCAAATCTAGCTGGTCGTGCGTCGATACGGTGACTTTGGCTACCCTCAGACAGCAGGTATTTAATGGGTGGGTGGGGGTATTTTTATAATTTTTAATGTTTTTATTACATGCGTGTTTAGTAAATTAACAAACCTAGAGGACGTTTTTGTTAATTTTTGAATCCTACCTTGTTATTATAATCTAATTCTTACTTTTTTAAAAATACTAAAACAAATGCACCCAAAATAGTAATAGAGTGATAGTCGTTCGTTATTGACGACTCAAGTAGAATGCTAACAGTTGTTAGTTGTTTTTTTATAGCATTAGGCAGAACGGCAGTTTCTGATAAATTAGGAAAAAGTAAGGGTGATAAAATGTAAATTATGAAAAACACCAAAGTTGACACTGCCAAATATTCCAAAAATCTAGGGGTAATTTGTGCAAAGCCGGTTATAATTTGCATATTGAATTGGGCTCAATAAAACTCCAATTACATTTGGGCTTTGAAAATTGGTTTCGAACCTGTTTTTGTGTGGGCAAGTGATTTTTAGTCCCATCTAATTGATTAATATCTTCTACGTAAATATTTTTCTTTTTATAATTATAAAATTTCTTTGAACCCCATTTAATATCTAAAATAGCTCTATAAGCTTAATTAGGTTTATTTCCCCCAATTTTAAACTTAATTAGGTTTTTAGTTTTACACCTTTTTTCCCCAAATCTCTAACTCAATTAGGTCTTTATTTACACCTTTTCTCCCCTTTCCTAATTTTAAATTTTAAATTTGAAACCTTTATTTCTTTTTCTTAGATTCAAATTCATAATGTTGTGTGATTACTTTTTCTATGGTTTTAATATTATATTTTTATTAAACGAACAAATATTTGAAATAAAACAAATTTTTTCAATAATTACGAAAATGTAGGGTTAGGGACGGGTTATGAAATTTTAGGATTAGAGTTTATGTAAGATCAAAGATCAAAGATTAAAAATTAAAATAAATATATATAAAAAGAGTATGAGTGTGTTTATAAATTATAATTTCATTTCTAGTATTTTTAATTAAGGTTAAACTTGTCAAAACCAAGAATATATTTAGAAGTGTGGGATGCTCATCAATTAGGGTGGGGCTAAAAGTCACTTCCTTTTTGTATAGAGTAAGAGAAGTAATTTTTTTCCTTATATTACTTGATGAGAAATGTTAGCCTTATAAAGAGAAATACAAAGAGTACATACAAAGATAAATCATACCCTTAAAAGAAGAGAGAGAGAGAGAGATAATCATGAAGATTGAAGGTACAATTTGTCTTTGTATGCCCCTCTTTATATTTCTCTTTGTATTTCTCTTTGTAAAACTAGCATTTCTTTTACTTGATATGTATCCCTATCGCTAAATATGCTTCTTTTGTATTTAAAAAAAAAAAAAAAATCTCTATAAACTCTATGTAATATTAAAAATAACCCTTCAAGCTTAATTAGGTTTTGTTTACCCAATTTTCTCCAATTTCAAACTTAATTAGATTTTTTATTTTCTACCCATTTCCCTCAATTTTTCAAACTTAATTAGATGTTTTCTTTTTTCACATTTTTCCTCAATTTCAAACTTAATTAAGTTTTTTGTTTATACTTAGTTTTCTTCAATTTCAAATTTGAAACTTATTTTTTTATTTTTTAGATTCAAATTTATCTTGTTGTATGATTACTTTCTTACTTTTGGTTATATGTTTCAATAAAACGAAAGATTTTAGTGATTATGAAAATTGAAGGTTATAATTTATGTAAGAATTAATAGTAAAAATTAAAAAAAAAAAGTAAAATAGAAAATGATTATATTTAAAATTTATAATGACATTTTTAGTATTTTTTTTTAAATTAAACTTGTTAAAACGAAAAATTTACTTATAGATCGAGGCTTAAAATCACTCCCGAGTTATCATAAATTCGCCTCTAGGTTTGAAGGTTTAGTAAAATTAGAAAAAGTCGCTTTTGTCCCTGCAGCTTAAACGGCGTAAGGTGCATTTTGTCCTGTCTATGAATGAAACTTTTGAAATTATAAAAATTCTAATTAAAGAAATTATAAAAAGAAGTGGAAAAAAAAAACCTACATAATATCTGACAGAACCCGCCTTCGCTCACGCCCACCCCTCTACCATCGCACAACCTCAATCTTTTCCAAGGTCGTGCATTATTAACAATCTTGCGGTGGCTTTTTTTTCTCATTTTTTTTATTACGAAGATTTTATTTATTTATTTGTTTATTTTTTATAGATATTTGATCTTTTTTAATAATCTGAATGTGATTTTCCATTTTTTATCCGGTATTAATAAATCAAACGGGCAATATAGACATTTCATTGCTAGGCTTTAACGGAGACCAAAATCTTTAAATGGTAGTCACCTAACACCTGAGCAAAACCCTACATTAGGGTTTTGTGCTCCCTTCCGCCGTCTAATTTCAAGAGAACTCTTCCACAAAACCAGGTAATTTTCCTCTAATATATTTATATTTTACAATCATGAACATGGGTTTTACTTCTTTTTGGTTGCTCTCGTAACTCAAGGCTTCAAAATTGAATCTTGCCCATGATCGACAAATTATTCATTTGTAATTGTTTGAATTTTGTTTCTCAATTAAAAATAAAGTTCTACTATTTGTTTAGCAGCCATAACTTTGACAAATATTTCGGCTTGGTTGTTTTCTTGGTAAATTGGCTTTGACTAATTGCTATAGATCAGTTTTCTGATTGGATAATCGTGCATTTTGAATTAAATTCATATCTGTCTAGTTTCAATAATCAAGCTTAAATTTTATATCTTTGTGTAACTTTCACTTTATGTGTATTTATGTTTATTTTCTTGAGGATAGGAAGACTCGAAATAACATTTAATTTTGTTTGGTCCTTCAATTTTTTAGTTCACCAGGTCGTGTAAAGGCATATAAAGGAAATGGCTACTGAGAAGAAAGGAGAAGAGGATCAGTCAGCCACTAGTGCTCCAGGTGTTGGATTTATCGGGATGGCAGAAGAACAGTATCGGAAAATCAAGGAACATGCAGAAACGTATCCCTATGTGTGGGCGTCGTATATTGTTGTGTACGGTGGTTTTGCACTCTGGACAACCTACAGATGGAGAAAACTTCGTAAAACTGAGGACAGAGTAAGAGCTCTTCAAGAGAGACTTCAGAAAGTTGTTAAAAATAAAGAGTCTGCAAGCTCCACTACATCGGATAAAAAGGTTCCCCAGTCTGCTGAAAAGACTTCACAATCTGCTGATAAATTTTCCAAGTAAGGTTATTTGTTAATTCGTCGGCTTTGGTTTTCCTTTAACATTAATTCAATTTCAGAACTGGATTGATTGCCCTTCCTCAAGTTGGGTGAAGTATTGAAGAAATATGATGTCGTAGATGCATGATTTTCGGAAATATTTTTGGGAACTTCTTTTGTAGAATCTGAGATTTTGATATAGTAAAATCTTCAGAATCTGAGATTTCTGAATTTTGGTATAAGTTGATGTTATAAATTTTTAAGAAGATTCCAAAAGTGTGCAAATAGAGCATCAGAATGAATTACAAGAACTAGATGACTGATCAGTTATAAACGTTGTAATCTTGGTAAATTTTTGTTGAAATTGAGCTCAAGTTGTAGAAGTGTTTTCCCTGTTTAGATGATCATCATTGCTTTTCAGATAACATGGAGTTTGTTTCGTGTAATTTTCTGAAGAAGCTTGAAAACTAGCTAATGAATTTTTCTTACGTGTTGTTCATTGTTTTGGTGGGTTTCACTCTTACCGTCATTGGCCTGTCATAAAATTGCTTTAGGTATTGATTTTATGTGGGATATGTTGCAATTTATAGGATACAACAATGAGCATATAAGAGGTAGAGGACTTTTATTTATTTATCATTGTATGGCAGGTTAATTAAAAATGAAGATATTTATGTGTAAGCTTCCAAGGCTGCAGTTGACTATAGATTCAGCTTCACCAGCTTTTGTTCGGTGGTAGCTTTAACAGAGTCACAGCATTGTATCTGTGAAGAGAAAAATAAAATTAGACAAACATTTAGAGAAAGAGATTTAGCCAAAATGCATTTGCAGAATGTAGAAGCAATGTGACACTTGAAATTTAATTCATGGTTCACATTCTGAAGTATAATGATGTCCAAGGCAGTCTCTATAGACCATTTTCATAATTCATGACTTTTATGTTCAACAAATATCTGAAACCTGTGAACCTGATGACAAATCCAGAACATAGGAGAGCTTGAATTTTACTTTGGATTCGAATTACATCAGACTTCTTCGTTTAGTAATCTGAACTCCAAATTTGTTGAATGAACAAGAATGCAAATCTCAATATTGATGCTGGAAATAATGTTCCAGTAATAAACATTGAAAATGTAACCGATAACCTGACATGTTAATTGAAATTGAATATAATTGGATTCTCCGGAAGGCATTCCAACATTGTTACCAGAAGAATGTCCGATTGAATAGAATCTTAAATTGGAATATTTCTATTCCAACATGTTAATTAATTTATGTAGGTGGCGACTAGATCAATGTGTTATTGCTTCAATCGAAGTTTCCATAGAAGTTTACTACGAATCTTTGGGTACCTATCATGAAATTTATAGACATAATCTAATGATACCCTATGCTGCAATTGGAGCTTATAGGTAGAAAAAAATTAATTTAGATAGTCCTTTGTGCCTCTGGTGGCGACTTAGATCAATAAGATATTGCTTCAAGAGAAGCTTCCACCGAAGTTTACTATGAATACTTATCATGAGATTTATAGACATAATCTAATAGTAAGAAGTGTAAAAAAAGAAATTCTTTGTATATACATCCAATCCAACAGTGGTCATATTTCTCTTTATCCAGAAATTGAGGGTTTTTGTTAGGCCTACTCATATGGTGCCTAAACTAAGTATGACGCCGGTGTGAATATGGGTCTATGGGTCTTTCCGGTTCAAAAGCGCCTGATGTTTCTACACGAATCTAAATTATAATCTATTAACCCTTGCACTAACAAACAGTTGTCGAAGGCATAAGTATTGATTTTAGTATTATTTTGTCGTTAACATTAACCCAATGAAGATTGTAAGTGAGAGATAATCTCAATTCATAAGAAACTAACATTTATTTTTTTTTAAATTTGAAAAGATCGAACAAAAGTAGACAGGAAGTCCACATAAATTGTTAACTTATTTAGGAACATATGAAAAATAAAGATTTATTTGATCTTTATGATCCTAAAATTGTTAACTTACTTGGGAAAATATGAAAAATAAGGATTTATTTGATCTTTAGAATCCTAAAAGAGTAAACGACATGTTCCCACCTAAGGTTTGGTGAAATGACAAGTTTCCACTCCTGGTTTTATAAATTCCAAATTCTTATCTTTAAATCAACAATAATGCTACGGACACCGATTGTTGCCACCGAATTTTTGTACCGATGTACGTGACATATGAGTCAGACACAGTCACATTGGATATTAACACATCTTCTATGAATCAACAACCATCCATCAAATATGAACTAGCGTCCATGATTGTTGAACGACCATTCATTTCAAATAGATTCCCGTCCATCTATCTTGTACGAAAATAATAATGGACAGACGTCCGCCTTGAATGGACGCTTGTCCATAAATTTTTAAAAGTATAATAATGGACGCCTGTCCATACACAATAATTTTTTTTTTTCAATTTATAAAAAAGATTAGCTTGTCTAATGTGCTTCTCCAAAATAAGCGCCAAAATTTTTAGATGAAATAAAAAAATAAAAAAAAAATAATAATAAGAGCTTCATTGTTAAAGCTAATACCTTTTAGCTTCATTGTTCTCATCTTTTCTTCTCGTCTGCGTGTTCTAGTTAGTCTTTTACGCGGTATTGCTGATTTCTTCCTCAACAGCCACAACAAGCAGCTACCGTGACAAGAAAGTCACTAATATATTCACAGGAAAGCCATCAATCTTTTACACAGACAATCATTTACAGTTTTTTCACAAGAAAGCCACCAATTTTTTATGAGAGAATTGTTTAGGGTGGAAAGGGAGTTAGACAGATCAAACTTTTTTGAGATTAGAAATATTTGTTGAGGTACTTAAGAGTTTTTTATTTAATTTATGAATTTATTTAGTTTTGTATTCTATTTTGGATTAAATATATGTTACAATACAAAATAACTGATAGATAATATTTGTTGACAACTGTTGTGAACCAAATTCGTGAACGTGAAAACTGGTATTCATTTCAAATGAAGTCTGTAAATGATGAACATGTTTCGTTGAGAGAGATTTGATGTTGTTGGCAGGTTGAATTGTATTTTGTAGAAATTATTCGCGCTTTGGTTAATTTTTTACGAATGTAGTTGAGCTGTATGCTAATTCAGTTGTTTTGTTTTTATTATTTTGGTCGTTGGTTGGGTATGAGTAGGCTGTTTGCTGTAGGGTTGTGAATTCATAATAATAACGTTAATGTAACTTATTCTGAATGTTTTTAGTATATATTACTGTCACATTGCGGACTGTTTGTTAGCCAATTGTATAGCGAATTTTAGATATGCATTTCATTTGAGATTTGAATTTTAATATATCTTTTGGTATGTCTAGTATTATATATACATATTCATTTAAAAGAATAGTTGAGTTATGTATAAACAAAAGGCAAATGTATTTATAAACAAAAGACAATCTTTATTAAGAACATCTTGTGAAATCAATCTTTATCAATTTAACATATTTATAAACAAAAGTCAAATACAATCTTTGTACATAAAGTTTAGTATTTGAACCACACATAATGAAAATTAACATTCATAGTGCATTCCCAAGGATGTTGAGAAGGAGAAGGTTGTTGAGAAGTTCTTCATCATAGTGCAAGGGGTGGAGGCTGACCGGAGAAAGATGAGGTTGTTGAGAAGTTCTTCATTATGCTAAAAATTGCTGTCATGCGTTCCCCAAGGATGTCAACCATTGATTTTATTCTTGATACGAACGAGTTGAAATCACTTTGCAACTAATCCTGTTGTTCTTGCATTTTCCTCTCAATATGTGAAAAACTCTCCTCTTGAAACCTTTCAATTCGCTCAAATCTGCTTACTATTTTGTCTAACGTATGAGAAGACATTTCTTGTACATTTTGAGATGATCCAGGTTCAATACTCGTTCTTCTTCTTTTGTGCACATAGACTCGTCCTTGATTTACCCCTTCTCGAACAAGGACACATTCCTGAACTATTGCATCTTCCTCTATTTCATCCCTAATCACAAACCATTCTCCTACCATATTCTTTTTAATCAAACCCATTTTACACAATGTGACATCCCCCAAAAAATTATTTGTAGAAAACTTAATCTTATTTGGTTCATCATTATGGGTGATCTAAAAACCCAACTTCTTACATATTAACGTAACAAGCATCCCCCAATATATTTCTCTTTTTTTTTGCTTGAACCTCTCACAACTTCTTAATCAATAACTTTGCTGAATTTACTTGCTTCCCTGTTATTGTTGCATCCATAAACAATAAATCCTTAACAGTCACATTTCCATTTGTCTCTTTCCTGCCATTAAATGTGAAGTCAGAAATCTGTGAAATACTTTCATAACAGGATTCTTTAACTTAAACATCCATCCAAACTTGTTTGGAATCCCACGTTCTGGATACGCTATCCAAACCTTCAAAATCAAATCCTATTCAGGTTGTTAAATCTTGTGGTCTCACTACACAATTCTGATTCTTTAATCTAGAAAACATTGTATACGCTGGAAAATTATTAGTATCTATCTCCACAACTTTCAAACTATCTAAAAAACTCATAGATCAAATGCTTATTTCCATCATATCTAATACTCATCAACTGGTCCCATTTCAAATTACGGATCCAACCATTAATTTCATCAAATAAATCCAAACTTCTTCCAAGGTAAATATCTCTTTTCGCCATCTCTTTGTATTGCTTTTTATGTTACAAGTCTCAAAATTTGATTCCAGATGACGATGTGCCTCTATGAGGAATTGTTGTATTTTTTGCTCTTACAATTTTTTGCTTTCTTCTAAAACTTGTATATATAAAAAATTCATCATTATAATCAGTGCATAGAAAAGAAAACCTGTATATATAAAAAATTCATTATCATGATCAGTGATAATTAAAAAAGTTTGAAAGATGCAAAATAATTAATAATCATATGAAGTCAATACCAATGAGAAATGACACAAACAATCACAAGAAAAACTGAAATTAAGCTCAGTTAGCTACATTAAATAATGATGTTCAAGTTAATGTTATATAAGTGTGTCCATCCGAAAGCCTATGGTCACAATACATCATATGTTTAGTCATATATTTGTAAGAACAATATCAATACACACATCACTATGGCTATTGCCATAACCTAAAGAACAACCATACATGATACCTTTTAAAGCCATTTTTAACAACTAACTTGAATGGCTGAAGGAAAAACCATACATCACTTTCATCATCCAATGGTGTGCCATAACATGAGAAAATCACACAAGAGATCTGGATGTATTTGATCATGTGGCTGATCTCATCTGCCTAGCAAGAGACATACTCTCTTTCTCTATCTTTCTATTTCTTCATGTCTTTCATAGAAGAATTATTGAATGTTACATGATCCTTGCTTAGCAAAGGGATCAGATTTGGCTTTGATATGTTTACGAATCCAGAAGAAAATTATCTTTGTGGCTTTATAAAGGTTAACATATTTCTAT